GGGGCTGCTGTGTGTCCCCATCTTCATCTATGTGTGTATTGTGGAGGGGACACAGCAGCGGCCGGCCAGGGCCTCAGAGCTGGCTTCTGGGTGCTTGGCTACCCACCCCCAGCTATTTTTTTTCCAGCTGGACTTTGCCCGGCCCTCCCCTGCACTGAGGCCATTCACTCCTCTTTGCTGGGCCTTCTGGGTAGTTAGGTGGCCCTTGGCCAGGCCTGCTCTGGCCACCCCAGCTGCTCTCCAACCCAGATGGGCCATGAGAGGCTGGATAAAGCTCCTGGGTCTCCCAGGAGGCCCCGCCCCAGTCACATCTGCTCCCTGTGCCTCAGTTTCTTCTACTGTCAGGTGAGGAGGAATATAGCTACCAACTGCTGGGTTGGGCACGGTGCTGAGCACACACCAATGCAGTTGTGGCCAGCTGGGGCTTTGCATCCTAACGTTGGCTAAGAATGAGCGTTGGAGGCTGGGTGCCGTGGTTCACGTCTGTAATTCCAGCTCTTTGGGAGGCTGAGGTAGGCCGATCACTTGAGCCCAGGAGCTCTCGACCAGCCCAGGTAACATGACGAAACCCTGTCTCTGCGAAAAAATACAAAAACAGAGCTGGGTGTGGTGGCACCTGCCTGTAGTCCCACTACCCGGGAGGCTGGGGTGGGCAGATCACCTGAGCCCAGTAGGTTGAGAGGCTTCAGTGAGCCATGATTTCGTCACTGCACTCCAGTCCTGGGTGACAGTGAGATCCAGCCTTTTTTTTTTTTTTTTTTTTTTTTTTTCTGAGACGTAGTCTCTGTTGCCCAGGCTGGAGTGCAGTGGCGTGATCTTGGTTCACTGCAACCTCTGCCTCCTGGGTTCAAAGGATTGTCCTGCCCCAGACTCCCAAGTAGCTGGTACTACAGTTGTGTGCCACCATGCCTGGCTAATTTTTTGTATTTTTAAGAGAGATAGGGGTTTCACTGCATTAGCCAGGATGGTCTCCATCACCTGATCTTGTGATCACCCACCTCTGCCTCCCAAAGTGCTGGGCCACCATGCCCAGCCTTTGGGTCATTCCTGGACTGTATCGAGACTGTGCGCTGTGCCAGCGTCTGTGCTGGGCCCTTGGGACTTAGACCCTGCGCTGCCCTCAGACTCCTAATCCCTTCAGGCCATGGGCTTCCATTGGCATCTCTGAAGCATGGGGTGCACCTGGGGTGTTGAGGGTCTGGGGTGGAGAAAGAAGGGTGCCCCCATTTTGGGTCGGTGCCATTCACACAGGGGAAGATGAGCATGATTAGGGGTGTGCAGACAGGCAAATGGGGGTGACAAATGGAAGACAGTAGGAGGAGGACTGACTGGTGACAATGATGATGATGATGCACCATGATTCCTGAGTCGGCCCTGCCTTTTCCACCACCTCTCCTGCCTCCTGTCTCCTGTTCCTAGTCCCCCTCCCACCACGTGGTTTCTCTGCTGGCCTCAATCCCACCCAGGCCCTTGGCAACCTCAGGGCCTTTGCACAGGCTGTTCCCCCATACCTGTGACAGCATCCCTCCATTTTTCAAATGGCTGCGCCTTTCTTGTTCAAAGTCCCGCCGGCACCCTGATTAGCGTGTGTACTCCCACCCTTTTCCCTTGTCCCCTTTTGTTTCTTTACGGCCCTTTTGGGATCTGTAATGATCTGGTTTATGTTTATTTATCTGTTTGTTCTCTGGCTTCAAGTTCAGCTCTTTGTCTCTAGGGCCTTGAACAGGGTGTGGTATTGGGCAAGTGTCTGTTGAGTGACTTTATGATGACAGTGATAACAACAGTCATGGCTGACAATTACTGCTCACTGGACCTGGGCGGATGGTGTGCCCAGTGCTTTTATTATTTTGCTTTCACTTCAGCTTGATGGCATGAAGTGTGGGGACTATTATAACTGCCATTTTACAGATGTGGCAACTGAGGCCCAGAGAGATTAACTAACTTTGCCCAAGACCACACAGCAGGCAAGAGGTAGGATTAGAAGTCAGCTATGCTTTCTTAGCAGGGCATGGTGGCAGTTGCCTGTAACCCTAGCTGCTTGGGAGGCTGAGGCAGGAGAACTGCCTGAACCCAGAAGGCGGAAGCTGCAGTGAGTCAAGATTGTACCATTGCACTCCAGCCTGGGTGACAGAGTGAGACTCCACCTCAAAAACAAAACAAAACAAAAAAAACCACTCAGCTTTGCTTGACTGCAGGAGAGAGGGTGACTTTGGATAGAACAAGGCAGGGCAGTGCCTCTCACCATAGAGTCACCAGGGCACTGTTCCGTCTGCTGTCCTGGGAGGCCTGGACAGGGCCCTCCCCTCTTCCCGGAACTCTGGGCAGTGAACATTCTAGGACACTATGACCTCTGTTGGTGGGTCATGTGGGGGCCCTGACTCCCAGGTCAGCAGCTGGGGCCTTTTTGCGGTGGGGGCTCCCTGGACTCAGGGTCCTCCCTGGCCACGGCTGCAGCTGAGAGAAGGGACAGGAGGTAGGATGCCACTTCCTCCAGGCGGCCAGCCAGCCATCCCCTTCCCAGCCCTATAGAACTGAGTCTCCACAGGGGAAGGTGGAGAAATGTAGGGGGAGAGCCTTTTATTCTTTCAGGGAGAGGGCAGCCCTTTACCTCTAAGTACTCGGGCCTGGTTCTTGGGTGGCTATGGTTGAAGGTGGCAGTGGGGCATTTCTGGGTGATGTAGCTCGAATACTCCTATAAATGAGGGCACCTGGGTGCCAAATTGAGGTTGAAGGTTACCAGAGCTTCACTTCTTTCCATGAGTAGCTGGAAACCTGGCTTTTGAGGAAAAGTGCTGGGAGGTTTAAAAGATAGTTCAGGCTGGGCATAGCCGGTTCATGCCTGTAATCCTAGCAATTGGGGAGGAAGAGGTGGTAGGATCCCTTGAGCCCAGGAGTTTGAGATCAGCCTGGGCAACATAGCTATGCTGTCTCTGTAAATTAAAAAAAAAAAAAAAAAAAAAAAAAAGGATGGAGGTCGGAGGCTACAGTGAATTGTGGTGATGTCACTACACTCCAGCCAGGGTTTGTTTGGTTTTTTTTTTTTGAGATGGAGTTTCTGTCACCTCGGCTGGAGTGCAGGGGCATGATCTCAGCTTACTGCAACCCTCGCTCCAAGGTTCTAAGTGATTCTTCAGCCTTAGCCTTTGGAGTAGCTGGGATTACGGGAGTGCACCACCAGGCCTGGGTTATTTTTTTTATTTTTAATAGAGCTGAGTTTTTGCCATGTTGGCCAGGCTGGTTTCAAACGTCTGACCTCAGCCTCCCCAAGTGCTGGGATTACTGAGCCACTGCTCCTGCCCCATACTTCAAATCCAAATTTGAAAACCCTGTGGGACCTGAGTCAAACCCCTCCTGGGCTGCTGTTGTCCCTCCTGGCTTTTGGCTCTGTGGTATTGGGTGGTGTCCTGAGTTAGGCTCCTCCCTAATATATCTTGTGCCCCCATCACCGGCCCTGTGTTGGTGCCCACCCAGCTGCCCCACTTTCTAGATGTGGAGACTGAGTCCAGAAAGGGGAAAGGACTTACCCAAGGGCCTCCAACTGCCGAGCAGTTGCTTTTCTCTGAACCTCAAGCTGAGCCGGAGTTAGAGCCGATACTTTTGTATTCAGTGTTAATGTGTACAGTGAGTGCTCTGCTTTTGAAAAATTGTCAAAAGCACAGCAGCAGCTAAGGAATGCCCTTCCTCTAGTCGGGTCTTACCCCGTGTTTGGGTGCATACTAGGAGTCACAGAGGGATTTGATTTCATTAACAGCGGCGGCGACCTGGGCTGCGTGGAAATTTACTGGGCCTGATGGAGAAGGATGCAGCTTTGGAAATTCTCCCTTTCCCTTTGGGTCGTTTGGGCTCCCTCCACCAGGTTCCCCTGTCCTGGGTGCAGGCTTGTGACAGCTCTTCAGGGATTCAGATGTGGCATCTGAGCTCTCTGTGATGTTTTGCCATTTCCTGGAGGTGGATGCTGCCCCTTTGGGTCGTTTGGGCTCCCCTGCCAGGTTCCCCTGTCCTGGGTGCAGGCTTGTGACAGCTCTTCAGGGATCCAAATGTGGCATCTGAGCTCTCTGTGATGTGTTTTGCAGTTTCCTAGAGATGGATGCTGCCTGAGGGTCATGTTTTCGGCCCTGCTTCCCTGTGGTGTCTGGCGCATAGCATCAGGGTGCGTCTGTGAAGTGGCTGAGTTTGGCTCTAGGTGGTTGGCATTAAAGTGTCATGTGCCTGTAATCCCAGCTACTCCGGAGGATGAGGCAAGAGAATCGCTGGAACCGGGAAGTGGAGGTTGCAGTGAGCCGAGATCGCACCACTGCATTCCAACCTGGCAACAGTGGGAGACTCCGTTTAAAAAAAAAAAATCTCCCTGGCTTTTGGTTTTTTCTTTTTGAGACAGAGTCTTGCTCTATTGCCCCGGCTGGAGTGCAGTGGTGCGATCTCAGCTCACTGCAGCCTCTGCCTCCTGAGTGCAAGTGATTCTCATGTCTCAGTCTCCAAGTAGCTGGGATTATAGGTGCCCGCCACCATGCCCAGCTAATTTTTCTATTTGTATTAGACATGAGGTTTCACCATGTTGGCCAGGCTGGTCTCCAACTCCAAGTGATCCTCCCCACTCAGCCCCCCAAAGTGCTGGGATTGCAGCCACTGTGCCTGGCTCCTGGCTTTGGGTTTTCTGCTCATCGTCCTGGCCTGCCTCCGTCCTTCCCACGAATATTCACTATGTGCCCCAAGTGTGCCAGGCTCCATGCCTTGTCCTGGGGACAGATGCCATCCTGGTCATGGGGGAGGATGTGGCATTTTCATGAAGAGCTATGATCGAGGGGGGCTCATGGCTGCTTCAGGAGCCCAGAGGAGGCACCTGACCCCCCCAGGCTTCCTTCCAGACAAGGTGACAGTGGTGCTGAGGTGGCTGAGAGGAACGGGCCTCAGATACTGGACTCTCAGACCTGGACACGGGGGTAAGCACTGGGCCCCTACCTTGCAAGGCAGGAGTCGCTGAGAGCTTCATCTCTTTCCAGGTCAGCCATGTCATCTGAGCCTCCCCCCCCACCACAGCCCCCTACCCATCAGGCTTCAGTTGGGCTGCTGGACACCCCTCGGACCCGCGAGCGCTCACCATCCCCTCTGCGAGGCAACGTGGTCCCGAGCCCACTGCCCACTCGCCGGACAAGGACCTTCTCAGCGTGAGTCTAGAGCTGGCTGGGGATGCTTTCTCAGATGGGTTTCTGGCCATTTTTGGAACTCGGTGTCCCGGGCTGTTAAATAGGCAGACCTGGGGCTGGACTGGTGAGAAACTGGGACGGTGCCTTCCAAATTCAGGGTACTGCCCAGCCCACAAGAACCTGCCACGAGTTGGGAGTGACAATGGGTGGGCAGCTGCTGGGGTCAGAATCACTGGTCTTTAACCATACATGACAGTCTCTTTCCCTGTGAGACTGAATTATGCAGCTGCAAAATGAGCACAGTGCCAGGGCTGCAAAGGACCCACATGATGCCTGGCAGATGCTGGTCTTCGGCCCTTTGAGTGGAGGAGGTTCCTGTTATAAGTAATTAATCATTAGCTTTTGGAGGGATGCTCAGTTATCTTTTAGTTCAACTCCCTCTTTCCAGGTGGGTAACAGGTCTGAGATTGCACAACTCTCAGCCTGTGTGACTGGACAGGGCTTCCTGGGGAACAGCTGCTGGCAGGGGCTGGAATGAGTATCGTGTGTCCAGGGGAGCTGGTGGCTGTCGTGGAGTGCTTTTGGGACCCCTCACCCTACCCTCTTCTCTGTCAGGACCGTGCGGGCTTCACAAGGCCCCGTCTACAAAGGAGTCTGCAAATGTTTCTGCAGATCCAAGGGCCATGGCTTCATTACCCCAGCTGACGGCGGCCCTGACATCTTCCTGCACATCTCTGAGTGAGTTGGCGGTGGGTCTGGGTGGCCTGGCTGGGCGGGGGGGCGCGGCGCTTCCTTGGCTTTGTGGCGGTGGTATGTGACCATGCTGGGTGTGAGAACAGGTGTGCATGAGGCTGTGGGTGACAGAGTACTTGAGATTGTGCCTGGGTGTGTAAGGTTTTGTGTGTGTTCCATCATGGATCTGGGGGTGCCCAGCCATGCTTGTGGGAGACAGGGTGGTAGCAGCTGTGCATGGTGTGTGTATGCAAGCAGCAAGGACTACTGGGGTGAGTTCGAGTGCCCAGGGTATCTGGCCAATGGGGAACCCTTTTTGGCCTGGGGAGCAGGCCAGCTACCTGCCCTCACTTGGGGAAGTGGACAGGGAAGGAAGTCCGGGGTGGGCCCCTTTTCTCCTGCGGCCCGCTCAGTGATGTCCTTTGTCTTTCCTTCCTATCTGGAAGCCCCTGGAGAGCCTGGGGTGGGACGCGCACATCCTAGGGCTGGGTTGGAAGTCACCCAGCGTCCCCAAGGCTTTTACTTCAGGCAGGGGCAGACAGAGTACTCTGCACAGCAGAGCTGCAAATTGCCCAGTACATATCACATGGGCGGGCAGGCAGGAGAAAAGTGCCAGGCGATGCATTTCACATATGAATGCATGCATTGATGTGTAAATGTATTTCCATACTGCTGCTTCCCAGAAAGGATTTTGAATCAGTAAGGAAAACATAGAGGTCGGGGCAAATAAGAGGGCTGGAAATGCTGTGATGTCTGGGTTCTGCTGCTAAAAGTGCGTTGCTGATTTATTTCTGAGCTCCCTGGTGACTAAATCAGAGGGAAACTCTGTTTACCATATGATTCTTGAATCAAAACAAACCAGTTACTGGGGGAGCTGGCTGGCCCTGGCATTTTCAGTCTGAAGGGGATTTTCCTTCCACACTCCCATTCTTAATCAAGGGGACATCAAGATGCCAGTCTCATGTGAGATGGTGACTCATGTCCCCTAGAAAGTAAGAGAACCTTCCTGGGGGTGGTCAAAGGGAGAGAGGCCCCTTCAGGAACTAGCTTCAAGCACCCAGGGGACCTTCTTGAAGGCTCACTGGGAGGCCGGGTGTCGTGGCTCACGCTTGCAATTGCAGCACTTTAGGAAGCCGCAGTGGGCAGATCACTTGAGGTCAGGAGTTTGAGACCAGCCTGGCCAACATGGTGAAACCCCGTCTCTAGTAAAAATACAAAAATTAGCCAGGCCTGGTGGTGAGCTTCTGTAATCCCAGCTACTCGGGAGACTGAAGCAGGAGAATCCCTTGAACCTGAGAGGTGTAGGTTGCAGTGAGCTGACATCATGCCACTGCACTCCAGCCTGGGCCACAGAGCAAGACTGTCTCAAAAAAAAAAAAAAAAAAAGCCTCACCACCATGGCCTCATTTCTCTCTGGCTTGGACCGGCTGTGTCTACTCTCCATTCACAAGGCCAGGCTCCCTCCCACAGGTGACTGAGCTCTTTCAGTGCCAGTATCCAAAGTCCCAGGGCCTCCTTGGCTAGGACAGAGGCTGGGGACAGTCTGGCAGCTCCCTGTGGTGGAGGGGCAGTTCTTAGGAAAGGGTTTTCCAGTGGTCAGATGATGCCCGCTTTGGTGGCCCTATGACCAGAAGGGTGCTAGTGTCTTGGGTGTGTAGTCCATGAGCCTTTTCCTAGTGTGAGCACTGACTGCTTTTGTTGTGCTATGGTAGTGTGGAAGGGGAGTATGTCCCAGTGGAAGGCGACGAGGTCACCTATAAGATGTGCTCCATCCCACCCAAGAATGAGAAGCTGCAGGCTGTGGAGGTCGTCATCACCCACCTGGCACCGGGCACCAAGCATGAGACTTGGTCCGGACACGTCGTCAGCTCCTAGAAGACGCTGGAAGCACCCCTTCTGTGCCTGTGGGAGACTTTGTGGGGAGGAGGCAGGCAGACCCTGGAGATGACATTCTTCCACACGACATGGGGCTTTGCGGGGGCATGGGCCCTTTCAAGTATCTCCTGGAGGAAGGGGTGTGTGGGGCAGGCATGAGGTGCTCCCGGCCACCAGCACAGCCTCTGACCATCGCAACAACCTCTCACCACCTGAAGAGAATTAAAAGCATTTAAAAAGTAGAGGTGCCCCCACTGGTGGCTGCATGGAGGTTCCAACCCCAGCCCAGGGAGTAGTAGGGTGTTTCTCCAGCTGCTCAGACACGTGGGCTCAACCCACAGCATCCCTCTTACTCCTGGAGCTGCAGGCTCCAAATCCCCATATTTGGCCCACTAGCAGCTGACATGGACCCCATGTGACTTCCCCAAGGTGAATTTCCACACAAGTTCCCCTTGCACCAGGCAAAGCAGTCTAATTCTTGGCTTGGTTGGTACTAGGGGAGCTGTCTTTAAGCAGGTGGGAAAATAGGGGGGGCTCTGGATTGGACAGATTTTGCCTTTAGGTGCCTTTGCAGTAGGAGTTGGCGTACATAGCTGGCTGTCTGGGGAAGACAGTTTCCCCCAGCACTCCCACCCCTGGGCACAGCAGGCTGGTACAGGAAAGGTGAACCCGTAACAGTGCCTGACCTTTTCATCTGCCTTCTGGTGACGTGACCATCACTTAACAGCCATTTCACAACCCCTGTCATTACTGTGGCGGGGTGGGGGTGGTGGGAAGGGCTTTTGGAGAGGGCAGGCTCTTTAAAAACTTTCTCCCGATACATGCAGAAAAGACTAGGTAGCTTACCTCCTGACAGAATGGCGAAGCTGAGAAGTTGGTGGGGGCGGGGGGAGAGGGGGGCGGTTCTCTAAAACTAGTGTTAAGAAATGCTTAGGGATTTATTTTGTATTTTTTCATAACTAAAGCTTTTACCCAGAGCCTGCTCTGTTTGCACCTTGCTGCCGACATTGCTAACTTTTTGTGTGTGGGGACAGAGTCTCACTCTGTCGCCCAGGCTGGAGTGCAGTGGTGCGATCTCGGCTCACTATAACCTCTGCCTCCTGGGTTCCAGTGATTCTTCTGCCTCAGCCTCCCGAGTAGCTGGGATTACAGGTGTGTGTGCCACCAAGCCCAGTTAATGTTTCTGTTCTTACCAGAGATGGGGTTTCCCCATGTTGGCCAGGCTGGTCTCCAACTCCTGCTGAGGTGATCTGCCCGTCTCAGCCTCCCAAAGTGCTGGGATTATAGACGGGAGCCACGCACCTGGCCTGCAAACTTCTTTGTAGGTATTTCTGGTAAACAAATCCTTAGATTTTCTCTGCTGTGGTTTTGGTTTGGCTTTAGTCATGATCTGAAAGTAGAAATAGCTAGGCATTACATTTTGAAATACATGGCCTGTATGTCATCAAGAATCCACTTGTCAACACATGGAAGCAAACCTTTTTTAACGAATGGCTTTTGGGCAGACAGTAACTGTCAGAAAAGAGGGAGGATGGTTTGATGCTGGAAGCAGGAACGGCTTGAGGCACTTAGCAGCTCTGCTGCGGATCGTCCTTGCAGCCTAGGAACTGCTGCCTTTGAAAGGGGTGGAAAGTTGTTTTAAAACAGGCAAATCTGCATGTTGGTTGTGAGAGTGTGATAAACAGCCAGCTCCCATCGCAGTGAGGTCCTGGGCAGTGTTTTCTTCGCCCGTGGTACCCCTTCTAGGTTCTCACTCTCCTCTCCTGTCTCTGCCTTCTGCTGGGTCAAAGGTGGCCTTTTTCTCTCCAGCCGTGAATTGTTCCCTGGTGGCTTCCTGAGGGCCCATCTGCTGGTACAGCCACACTTCTAAAACCAAGACCCGCAAGGGCTCCTTTACTGCCCCAGGCCTCTCTCCCGCTGCATCCTCACCTTGGCACAGTGGTGGGCGGCACTGTTACCCTGTATGCTGGCGCTCTGGCAGGCTCTGGCCAGCAGTGAGCTGGGGGATTGCGTTCTGCTATTCAGGGGTGACCTTTGGATTCTCTCTTGGCAGAATCCTTTGCCAGCGGCTCTTGCTCTGTTCTTCCTGTATGGCCACAGCTCTTTAAATACTAGGTATTCTAGAACTGCTGGATGTCAGAACTGGAGGGGACGCGACACCAGATTACAGAAGGTGAAGATCCTGGAGGCTCTGGGAGGGATGGAGGGTGTTTCTGCCCGACCAAGAACTAGAATCGAGGATTCCTGAATCCTCATCTTTCCTCCCACTGGCCATCTTTCTCCCAATAAAGTGCAAAGTTGTTTTGTGCAAAGTTGTGCATGTTTCTGTGTGGAGGGTGGCTCACTAAGGAGCTTTTCCTTTAAGTTGTCAGGTAAGGATGTCTCCCTCAGGCAAGGCTGACACACTTGGCAGTCTTTTTTTAGGGGGTGGTGAATAAGAAGATGGGATCATCGGTTTTTCTTTAATCACCATTCTCTAGCATAAGAAAGTTTAACAGGAAGGAGAATGCAGCTTCCTGGCAACAGAAAATGCCACTGATCTGGTCAGCAGCTGTCCAGTGCCCTGTTGAAGCTTTTAGGATGTTGTGTGACATACACCTCATTCCCACTGCACACCTGTGAGAAATGGGGACCGGTCTTGGGGTGCAGACTGTCCACAGTATCTGGCTCACTCCTGCTATACAGGTGCTTTTTTTTTTTTTTTTTTTTTTTTGAGACAAGGTCTCGATTTGTCACCCTGTAGCCTTTACCTCATGGGCTCCAGTGGTCCTCCTTCAGCCTCTTGAGTAGCTGGGACTACAGGTATATGCCACCATGTCTGGGTAATAGTTAAATTTTTTGCATATAGCATCTTGATACATTCTCCAAGCTGGTCTTGAACTGGACTCGGCCCATCCTTTTGCCTCTGCCTTCCACAATGCTGGGAGTACAGGTGTGAGCCACTGTGCTTGGCCGCTGTTACAGACATTTGATGGATGTTTGCTAGGTTGGGCACAGTGGTTTACGCCTGTAATCCCAGCATTTTGAGAGGCTGAGGCGGTGGATGGCCTGAGCTCAGGAGTTTGAGACCAGCCGGGCATCATGGCAAAACCGGGTCTCTATCAAAAATACACAGTTACCTGGGAATGATGGCTTAGCCTGTGGTCCCAGCTACTTGAGAAAATCACTTGAACCCGAGGCAGCGGGTTGCAGTGAGCTGAGATGGCACCACTCTACTCCAGCCTGGGTGACATCGAGACTACATCTCAAAGGAAAAATGTCCATCTCTACACCACCCAAAATCACCCTTGGGACACACTGGCCAGAACGAAACCTTCCCAGCAGAGCACAATGCCCCCCATAGTGTGGCCCAGGCCAATCTGCTCTGGAAACCAAGAATGGGGGTTCTCACACCTCCCCACCTTCTGACGCTCATTTCCACTGCACCAACCACAAACCATTCTTCCCTGCTATGGACTTGGAAACAAGAGGCTTGAGGTCCCAGGGACAGTCCAAGGCTGGACATTTTTTTTTTTGAGACAGAGTTTCGCTCTTGTTACCCAGGCTGGAGTGCAATGGCGCGATCTCGGCTCACCACAACCTCCGCCTCCTGGGTTCAGGCAATTCCCCTGCCTCAGCCTCCTGAGTAGCTGGGATTACAGGCACGCGCCACCATGCCCAGCTAATTGTTTTTGTATTTTTAGTAGAGACGGAGTTTCACCATGTTGACCAGGATGGTCTCGATCTCTTGACCTTGTGATCCACCCGCCTCGGCCTCCCAAAGTGCTGGGATTACAGGCTTGAGCCACCGCGCCCGGCCCTTGGACATCTTTTCAATCCACTTTGTGCCCGAATCTCCCTTTCTTCTCCTTCCCCTGCCCCTCCCCCTCCCCTTCCGCCTTCCCTTCTGCTTTCCCTCCCCATTCCTTTTGCCTTCACGTCACTTCTCTATCTTCCCTTCTTGCCTTTCCTTCCTTTTCCTTCCAACTTCCCTTCCCTTCCCTTCCGCCTTCCCTCCCCCCCCCACCTCCCTTCCCTTCCGCCTTCCCCCTTCCCTTCCCCCATCCAGTCCTGTCCCATCCCATCTGCAGCATCGATCCTCCTGCCTCAGCCTCCCAAGTAGTTGAAACTATAGGCACCCACCACCATGCCTGGCTAATTTTGTGTAGTTTTAGTAGAAACGGGGTTTCACCATGTAACCAAGATGGTCTTGATCGAATGATCTGCCCACCTCGGCCTCCCAAAGTGCTGGGATCACCCACATGAGCCACCGCAATGAGTAAGATGGACATTTTTCTTGCCAGTATTATACAATGATTTCCAAGGCGCACTGGGAAAAAGTATAAAATTATAACCAGCCCATCAAACCTGTTTAGGGAGAGGCTAAAGTAGGCACTTAGCTCAAAACAGAAACTTGCCAACTTACTATATGGTGTACTACATGGGTGGCACAAGGAAGGGTTTGGCAAAAGCTGAAGGTGGGGGATGGGCACAGTGGCTCTGGCCTGTAATCCCAGCACTTTGTGAGGCCAAGGTGGGTGAATCACTTGAGGTCAGGAGTTCAAGACCAGCCTGGCCAACATGGTAAAACTCCATTTCTACTAAACATACAAAAATTAGCTGGGTGTGGTGGCTGGCATGGGTCTGTATTCCCAGCTACGTGGGAGGCTGAGGCAGGAGAATCACTTTAACCTGGGAAGCAGAGGTTGCAGTGAGCCGAGATCGTACCACACTGCACTGCAGCCTGGGTTACAGAGCAAGACTGTCTCAATCAATCAATCAATAAATAAATAAAAATAAAGGCTGGGCATGGTGGCTCAGCACTTTGGGAGGCCTAGGCAGGTGGATCACCGGAGGTCAGGACTTTGATAGCAGCCTGGCCAATGTGGTGAGACCCCATTTCTACAAAAGACACAAAAATTGGTGGTGGCAGGTGCACATAATCTGAGCTACTCGGGAGGCTGAGGCAGGAGAATTGCTGGAACCCAGAAAGGGAAGGTTGCAGTGGGCCAAGATTGCATCACTGCACTCCAGCCCAGGCGACAACAACGAAACTTCTTTGTCTCTAAAACCAAACAAAACCCCCAAAAACTCAAGGTGGGACTGGGAAGACATTTGAGAAACCAGCCTTGGGTGAAGGTGGTGGTGAACAAAGAGCTCTGATCTTGAATTTCGGGTGTTGTGGAGAGCAGCGTGGAGGTTGCAGGGGAATCTGAAGGCCCAACTGTCTCTGGTTAGGGTTGGAGGAGCCTGTCTGGGCTGAGGTGGCCTGCTGGGGCCCAGACCCAGAACACTTGGGAGGGGTAGAGAGGAAGTGATTCAAAACCACGTATGCCTGGATATGTCCTGATTACGGCAACATCAGCCCAATTGCCCAACCAGTTCCTCTCCTGGCCCCTATGGGCACTCCCCTTCAAGTGGGTGGAGAGACCTTCCAGGATGACAGGTGGACACATCAAGAGCATGCTCTGGGCTCCTCCCTCAGGATCAGGTTCAAGCTCAGCTTCCTGGCTAGCCTCTCCCTCCAGGGAGCCAGAGGCCTGCTCTGCACTCACCCGGCTGCTCAAGTTCAACCCAGGCCTTTCCCCTGAGGCTTCTTCAGCCCTGGGTGACCTTGAGCTCAGGGTCAGCTTCTTCAGTGCTGGGGATGGTAAGTTTCAACAGCGGTAGGCTGGCCTGGGTGCAACCTCTGTGCTTTGCTCTGTCTCAAAACTTGCCTACTGTGTTTAAATTGCTTGTGACAGTGTCTTTATCCTGCCAACCCCTTATAAGGTTCTGGGTTGGAAGGGAGGTACTGAATTAGTAATGGCTCACATTACTATTCGAAGTGCTTCAAATGCCATACGTGATAAGGATTGTCCCATTTGACAGATGAACAAACTTAAGAGAAGATGAACTTACCGTAAGTCATGCAGCAGTGAGTAGCAGCAGATCTAGGCTTGGAGCCTTGGCAGGTGTGCTCTTACTTGCCAGGTGTGGAACCTGCTGCTCTGGAGACACGTGGAAGGCACCAGGAAGCGCTGCACATGCGCCAGTTAGCTGTTATTTAGCAAGCAGACGCCCCTGGAGTAACCCCCAGGAAGCCGGCCTGGGGTGCAACGTGATGACAAGAAAGTGGAAGGAAGGGGTTAGTTCAAAGTCCTTTTGAGGGGGGAGGGGAGTGTCAATTCTGACTGCAGAGGGAGGGGCAGGCAGGGCAGGGGGGGCTTGAGGGGCCTGGGGAGGGTCTGAAGCAGCCACTGTGGGAACAGGGGCAAGACGGTGGCCCACGCCTCTGCCGGGCATCAGCACCCAGCCTGGCAGACTCGGGGTACTCACCTGAGGGCAGCACTGCACAGGCAGGGACACAGCAGCAACCTTCCATGTCCGGTTAAAACAAGTTTGAGTAAGACTCAGCTGTCTTGCTTTGACGCAATACTTGAAGAAAATCTGTAAGGAACGACAGACCCTCACCCAATGGGCAGAAAAGCAGCAGAGGAGTCGTCTCTGTGTCAGTAACAGGAACCTGCAACTCTGCAGACGGAGGGGCCCCCACCGTGATAGAAAACCAGAGCAAAAAGTGGCTCTCAGATCTGGAGGGGCAGCGGTTCCCTTCCAGAATCGGCAAACATCGGAGGAAAACATCATCAGAATGAGAAATAGGAAACAATAAAATCACTTTAATGTGCTGCTATTCATTTTGAAAGGTCATTACAGTATCATTTGCAAAGTTCAACAAGGCAATGCCACTGGATGGCGGTGTCCTGGGCGTTGCCAAGATGAGGAGCTAGCTGCTTTCACCCCACCAAATCTGGGGTGCAGACAGCTACAGGCCCGAGTGGCTGGAAGGTATGGAGGGAACCAGGTTTAGCTGTGATGAAAGTTAACTGGCTGTGGGCTGGGGGCGGGCGTGCTCGGCAGCTGTGGAAGCCCTGGCCCCAGACTCACGTTGGCAAGTGCCCAGTGGAGGCCACACAGCCCCAGCACCAAGCAATGGAGTCCCAGGGGTTCCACATCCTGAAAGGTGACACGTGAGCCAATTCCTAGGAAAGTTCTCTTCCGTGTTCTGGATGAGGCCTGGGATCCTTCCAGTTTCACGAAGAAGGTGCAGAAGGTAGAAACAGTGAGGGACGCGGGCATGGCTGCAGCTGCACTCACCCCCTCGGTCATCAAGTCCGGGTGAGGGCCTGGGTGGGCACAGACAGAAGAGCAGCTCCTCTTCCGGTTCCCTGGCTGGGCTCTCGCTCGATCCCTGGGAAACTAAAGACGAAGGCCTCTAGGAAGCCAGCCAGAGCCAACCAGAAGGTCCTTTTGGTGAAGTCTGACATACCATGTTAGTTTCTCTGGACGTGGGTGAGAACTGGCCCCCTGGGGAAGGACTGTTTTGCCAGTGCCAGTTCTCCAGCGGGGCTGCTGGTTCCCACTGCCTCCCATCTCAGAGACAGAGAAGCAACCTGGCTATTCCAAGTGCAATGAGTACAGAGCCAGCCCAAATCCGGGCCAGCTGAGGTGCAAACTCCCTGGGGTCTGCTGCCACTTGGCCAGCTATCTGACGAGCAGGCCTCAGCCTCAAACATGGGACAAGAAAGTGCACCTAGTCCTTGGGCGTCACCCTGCCCTGCTCACTGCCCCCACCAAGGCAACACACAGGCAGCAGGTGTTTGTAAACTTCATCCTGGGGTGGGTCACTGCAGCTGGCCTGTCCTTGTTTCTCAGTTCCAAATCTCCATTTCCCATGCTGACGCAGGGGTCCATTAAAACCACTTCAGGGCCAGGTACAGTGGCTCACACCTGCAATCCCAGCACTTTGGGAGGCCGAGGTGGGCAGATCATGAGGTCAAGCGATCAAGACCATCCTGGCCAACATGGTAAAACCCTGTCTCTACCAAAAATACAAGAAAATTAGCTGCACGTGGTGGCACACCTATAATCCCAGCCACTCGGGAGGCTGAGACAGAATCACTTGAACCTGGGAGGCAGAGGCTGCAGTGAGTCAAGATTGTACCACTGCACTCCAGCCTAGGCGACAGAGCGAGACTCTGTCTCAAAAAAACCCAAAAAACCGTTTATGTTTTCAAAAGAACCAAGAGAGGGAGGGTCCAGGCACATTTTTTTCTTCCTGTATCGTCCTAGGATGATGGGGAAATTTCCCCAAAACTATGTGATTGCATGTATTAGGTGGGTGTTAGACTAGGGGACTGGGGGTCAGTGGGGAAGACCTTCTGTGGGAGGTATTCTTCTGAGCCATTCTTGACAAATCTTTTCTCCTTCCTTCTGGAAGCTTCTGGCACTGGAGGTGGAGGCATGGCGGGTCAGGGGTGGAGGTCCAGACTGCATGTTCCTGGCACAGGGCACACAGCCTGGCTGGGCTGGCTGTGGGTAGGTGAGAACATGTGGGTGGGCCCTCGGCTCTGGCCACCGAATGCCCCACGCTGCCTTGTCAGCCAGGAACCCCCCACTCCTGCTCCGGCATCAGAAGAGCTGTTCGCAGATCCTGCGTGTGTCCTCAGGCGCTGTCACGGAGTGGCCCGTGGTCCTAGGGTCTGTGAAGATCTCATGGTCATTGCCACCCTGGAAAGACACCAAGTGCAGATGAAGTCTCCCTCTTGTTTGTCCCGGGCCATTGCTGATGTGACCCAGGAGCCCAAAACTACCAGAAAAACAAGACTTAAGTGGGCAGAGAGAATTCCTTCAGCTACCTTCCCCTTAGCTGCTAGGAGAAGAACATGAGTACAGTTGTTATTGAGAAGAGATTTATAACCTTCCCTTGAACTGCAATTTGGCTTGGAACATGTAATTATGCCTATGAAAGACATCACGACGTTCTTGCGAATATCTTTCTAAGGCTTTCTTTTCTATAAAGAAGGCATCAGTGAGTGACAGTATTCTCACCGCCATCAGTTTTTTTAAGCTGTGCCCATACTTTTCTAACAGGTCACCAGGGGGTATCAGGAAGGCAGACAGCTGGGAGCAGGGCTGCCAGGGATCTTCCTGTGATGAGGGACATGGCGACATCAGTGGTGATAGCAGCCTCCGGTCATGTGTGACTTTGCACACTTGAAATACGGCCAATTCGACAGAGGAACTCAGCTGATTTGATTTTAATTTAAATGCCCCACGTGGACTGGGCATGGGGGCTCCTGCCTGTAATCCCAGCACTTTGGGACGCCAAAAAGGGTGGGTCACTTGAGGTCAGGAGTTCGAGACCAGCCTGGGCAACATGGCAAAACTCCAGTTCTACTTAAAATACAAAAATTAGCTGGGTGTGGTGGCCCACGTCAGTAATCCCAGCTGCTCAGGAGGCTGAGGCAGGAGAATTGCTTGAACTCAGGAGGTGGAGGTTGCAGTGAGCTGAGATGGTGCCACTGCACTCCAGCCTAGGCTACAAAGTGAGACTCCATCTTAAAATTAAATAAACAGCCCCACATGACTGGGATCCGAGCTGCTGGCTAAGAGCAGGGTCTCTGGAGCAAGTGGTTTGGGTCGGATGCTGGTTCTCCCACTGACCAGCGGTGTGGCTGTGGCAACTCCCCGTCTCCAAGCATGGGGTCATGGTGGAACTTGGCCAGAGCTTTGTGGTTAGAAGTTCAGGAGATGATGGTGGGGGTCACACCTTGGTAAGATGAGGAAACCGAGGCCTGAGAAAGTCTGCAAGGGCCCATGTCTAGGAGGACCTGGGCATGCCCTGCCTGAGTCGAGTGCTCCAATCTGTGTCCCCATCGCCCCCACCAATCCTGCTGGGCTCAGGTTAATCAGTCAGGCTACCTGCCGCTCCCACAACCCTAAGCCCTGCAGGTAAGCACCTGCTTTTCTCATCATGGAATTCCTGTATTTTCCTCATCGGAAAATTGGATAAACCCTCTAACTCAAACCTTAAAATAATCTATGACTGGTTTATATATGATCAACACAACCGCAGAGAAAGGGATTTTTTCTCATAAAGCACTGAGCACAAAGCCAACATGGAAACCATGATTTCTGTACAGAAAATCTCACATCCTTTTCAAGAACAACTCTGCAAATTTCATTTGTAAGAATCTATCCCCAGGCAGATGGCTTCCCCAGGTGAAGGTGAAGTTTCAGGCTTCAGGAGGGAATGTCACTGGGCCCAGGGAGCGCTGGGTGGAGTCAGGTTAGGAGGCCATCCACTTGCCATCTCTTCCAGTCCAGCCACTCGGAAGCCTGCCAGGGCCTTGCACTGGCCTCACACACTTTTGTACCATGAAGAGCCTGAGGCCTTCAGACAGCCCTGCATTTCATGGCCACCATCTGTGACCTATGTGAATACATGTGAAATCAGTTCTGCCAATTCGGATTTTGCCTTTTTTTCCTTTGGACATAGGGTCTTGCTATGTTGCCCAGTCTGGGCTCGAGCAGACCTCCTGCTTCGGCCTCTTGAGGAGCTGAGACAAAGACTGTGTGCCACAGTGCCGAGCTAGTTCTAGCCACACCGCCCCCCCCCCCCCCGCTTTTTTTTTGTGAGACAGAGTCTTGCTGGAGTGCAATGGCGCGATCTTGGCTCACGGCAACCTCCGCTTTCCAGGTTCAAGCGATTCTCCTGTCTCAGCACCCCCGTAGCTGGGATTACCGGCACGCACCACCATGCCCGGCTAATTTTTGTATTTTTAGTAGAGGCGCAGTTTCACCGTGTTGGTCAGACTGGTCTTGAACTCCTGACTTCAGGTGATCTGCTGCCTTGGCCTCCCAAAGTGCTAGGATTACAGGCATGAACCACCATGCCTGGCCGTAATTCTTACAATTAAAAAAATATTTATTTCAAGAACGGCATGATGGATAAAAGTCATGGAAAACCTAACAAAGGCACAACCTAGCTGGGTGTGGTGGCGGGCGCCTGTAGTCCCAGCTACTCAGGAGGCTTAGGCAGGAGAATCACTTGAACCCTGAGGGGCTGAGGTTGCAGTGAGCTGAAAATGCACGGCTGTACTCTGTCTCAAAAGAAAAAAAACAAAAAACCAAAGGCACAAGCAACTCTTGCATGCCTCAGAAGAGCCAAACATCCTCCCCCTCACTCAGGGACTTAGGAGGGGGAGTCGGTATTCACATATCAACACGACACACCTTTCTAGAACACCTACTACCTGCCAGGCATTGCTTTAGCAGCTGGAGATACAGTGCAAGCCAAACCCACTCAGCTGTCTTGGGAGCCTGTGGTCTGGTCGGGGAGATCAGCCATGAAAAGACAGCTCTTGGCACCTTCTTGGGCAAAGGCAGGAAAGGGCTGCCAGGACTGGAGGGGGAGGGAGCCCTGGCACCTGAGGGAAGTGAGGGGACAGGCCTTGTGGCCATCAGAGAAGAGGCTGAAGAGGGAGGATGGGCAGGGGCTGGGCCAGGCCACAGAGCATCTCCTAGATTGTGACAAGTACCTGGGATTTCACGGAAAGCCACCTGAAGGCTGCAAGCCCAGGCCGTGATAAGATCACTTTACAAGAGGACCTCTCTCGAGAATGGGTGGGGGCTGAGGACGCAACTGAGGGGAGCCGTTAGGAGGCTCCTGCAGCCAGCCAGGGTGGAAACAAGACAGAGGCCACTACCTGCGAAGAGACCCCGGAAGCACAGAGGGTTCATGCTAGTCCCCCGACAGCTGCTAGGCCTGCCCTTCCCTGCAGATGTCACATGCAAGGGACATGAGTCTCCCTGTGGTCCTGCTAGGGGTTGCCGAGGAGCTGTCTGTGGACTCTGAGTGAGCTGTGTGCATGTAACTTGCTCACACTTAATAAAGCTAGGTCTGGAGAATCAAAGCACGTCCAGGAAGGTGAAATCCTCCCGACTCTAGCTGTGGGAGCCTTGCTGGGTCACCCCCTTTCAGAGAGCGGCAAGGCTGGCAGGAGAATCCGCAGACACAACCTGCCTCAGGCCTTCCTTTTTCTCCTTCCAAGGGTCTGCTTCCTCCTTCATTACTCTCGAGAGTGTGGTGGGCTCCTTCCTTGGGTGCAGCCTTCTAGGGGCTGTGTGGAGCCTGCATACAAGAGTAGGCGCCAGGCAAGTGGAGCGGACCCTAAACAAAATGGAATGAAAGCTGGCTGCCCTCTAGAATAATAAGGCTTCAGAGAACCGGAAATTTCAAATGCTGGATTTGCATATGCAGTAAAGGTCACTTGATTCTGGTTGGGGAACGCAGCCACCCGCCAGCTCCGTGAACAAAAACCCTGCTCCCTGGAGAGGGAGGGAAGGGGGGAGGCCTGAAAGAACGATCCAGTTTCTCATTACACTCTACCTGACTGGCACCAAAGGGAGGCCATGGCTCAGTGAAATCAGCACATTAATATTTAAATTCCTAAAAGGCCCAAAGTCTGCAGATAAAACAGAAGATGTAGTGTTTGCCAGGTTCAGATGCTGGGGAGCTCAAGAGTCTCCCCGCCCCAGCCTATTTCTGTACATACTGTGGATGACCTGTACAGCATGGTAGTGAGCCCCAGTCGTCCAGAAGAAAAATGTCATGGATCACAGCCTGCGTGAACTGCTTAGCTGGCTAGATTGCGGTGGGTGCGTGCTGTGTGTGGATGCCTCCTAGAGCACAGATGGACTCTCTGTAGCTCGTGGTCGGGACTCTTATTTAAATTTATTTTTGAGACAGGTTCCCATTCTTGCTCAGGCTGGAGTGCAGTGGCGGGATCATGTCTTGCTGCAGCCTCCACCTCCTGGCTCAAGCGATCCTCCCACCTCAGCCTCCTGAGTACTGGGACGACTGGTGTGCACCACCATTCCTGACTAATAGTGACTCTTGCTGTGGATGTTTGACTGTTTAACAAGTATTTACTGAATTTGTAGGTATTACAGATGCAGGGGCTGAAACCACATGTGCAAGAATTGTAACTGGGAAAACAATGAAGGTGAAAGAGGTCTGACCGGACTGCATATCGCTTCTAACCTCCAAGCTGTCCTTGTTCATTCCTGGGCATAGGCTGAACTAACCTTGGGAGGAATTTATAGTTCAACTTTGTTTTTTTGTTTTTGGAGACAGAGTCTCTGTTGCCCAGGCTGGAGTACAGTGGCGTGATCTCGGCTCACGGGAATCTCCGCCTCCCAGGTTCAAGCAATTCACCTGCCTCAGCCTCCAAAGTAGCTGGGACTATAGGCGCGCACCACCACACCTGGTTAATTTTTGTATTTTTAGTAGACATGGGGTTTCACCATGTTGGCCAGGCTGGTCTCAAACTCCTGGTCTCAAGTGATCTATCTGCCTGCCTCGGCCTCCCAAAGTATTGGCATTACAGGGGTGAGCCACCACGCCTGGCCTATAGTTCAACTTTGAAACAAAGACTAACAGCTCTTTTCCTCCGAAATAAACCCCCTTCTTGCCTGGGGACCAGTCTGCCTTTGTAGGACTAACACATTTGCTACAAGATTAAAAATTATGGCTTAGGAGCCATACGGTTTGAGGCTACGAGCCTGAACCTCCCCAGACTGCTCCTGGAAATAGTATCACTGTCGTGAAACCAACCTAAGACTGTGCCTGAGATATTCTGCAGACCCTGCATTCTGATGCAGTAGTTGACAACACACAGACAGTTCAATCACTTCTTTGATCAACCACTTCTTTGATCCCACCT